ATTACATTATAACACAAGCTCAGTTTAAAAACTATATTATAAAAGGCAAAATACTAATTATGATCAGGAGATATAGTCCAAAGAACTGCAAAATTGTATTTGATGTATTTTTTTCATTATATGTTTGAATGGAAAGACAAAATTATTTTTTTAACCTGTGAATCACAAATTTCTGTATAAATTAATTTATGCATGCTAATAATAAATGCTATAATAAACTTAATATTTAATATATTTTATAATCATCACAATTCGTACTAATACATCTTAATAAATTTATTTGTTAAATTGTTTTACAAGGTTTTATGCAACTAAATAGTACACATGTCTGAGGATAAAGTAAATAATCATTAAATATTAATGACTTTCACAAGTGCATAGCTTCTTTAATTTGGTAATATTTGTAAATTATATTTTTGTCACAAAGTAAGATAAATAAGAGGCATTATATTTTAAATCTGTTATTTCAACTGTTTCTAATTACTGTATTATCACATGGGTTGATTTGTTAGCACAAATTTAAAGAAGGACTGAAGGTTGTAAACAATGTGTTTTCAAAATAAAATCCGTAACATAATATTAAATACATTTTTTTTATCTAGTCGAGTCTGAAAGCGTGCGTAATAATTTGCGAGATGTGCTCAAGCTTGTGAAATGCTAACAGAATGAGTTATCTCGTAAAAGTATTTTATTTTATGTTTTCTATCAAGATGAAATTGCGTGTTTTTTATATTTTGAAAATTAGAATAATTAAACCATCTACAGTTACCACAGTGTCTGCTTCATAACGTAGTTCCGAACAAACCAGATATATATTCTACATAAAATTACAACTATACTACGTAATAAACAGTTTATGTACCATAGTTTATGTACACTGTTAAAATATTCAGGTACAAAATTTAAGAAATCCTATTTTATAACTATTTATATAGAGTTTATTCACAGTCATACGAACAGAAACGGCCCAAGCTCTAGGACATCGGCTAGAACATTGAGAAATTAAAACGAATACATAGGTCTTCTAGGCAACACATTTAAAACATTCTAGTACTGGCTTGTTGGAAATTCAGTGTGCATTGGCTAAAATATTTATAATATAACTGTTTCATTTTAACGAAATACTTACAATGGTTATTTATATGAGAGAAAAATTGTTTTTCTTATGTACTTTGATTAATATTTTTAGTACATTTTAGTTTGTATATTTTTAAGATGGGTTTTCTTTCTTTTACTTTTCTTTGGTTTACTTTTTTCCAAGTGTTTTATCGTTTGCTGTATATCATAGTGAATTCATTGTAGTCATTTAGTATTTTCGGGTCTGACTTAGGGGAGGTACGAATGAGGCATTTAGTTCAAAATTCCTCCGTGAACAGCGCTGTAGTAGAGAGCACTTTGGCAATGAAGGTTTACTAATCGCAAAAATAGTTCTGTTCATAAAATAAAATTATAAATGTCTCAAATTCAATTTTATTATTTTTTAATTATAAAATTAAACTATCATAACCTAACCGAACTAACCAAACTTGCTGATAAAGAAATAATATAACAAAAGTTTAGTAATCGGAAAAATAATTCTGTTTATTAAATAAAACTAGAATTTGCTCAATTAAAATTTTATAATGACTTAATAATAAAATTAAACTGTAATAACCGAACCAAACCAACCAAACTTGCTGATAATAAAAAATCTTGTACAAAAAGTTAATGCTACCAGTAGGATTCGAACCCGGAACCTACAGTATATCAGCCCGACACGCTAACCATTAGACCGCCGAGGCCGATGGCTACCGATCGTTTTGTTACGGTAATGGCGTTCCCTCAGCTAATAAGAAGCCCACAGCTGTCATCGTAGCCTCTTCTATACCTCCCCTGAGTAAATACCAGTATTTTCGAGTGTATTTTATGGTGTGTTTGTGTGTATGTGGAGGTTTGTCATCTGTTTTATGTATTTTTCCTGTGTTTCCTATATTGGTAAACTTAAAGATAATTTTTTAAGGCTACCTAGAACCATATCTGTAACATCTACGTGAAATTGTAAAGACATTTATTTTTAAAACTGAAATAATGGAAACTTCCATTTAACTGACGTTTAAACATAAATCTAAAAGCTCAAAAACAAATATGAAAAACTAGTTTTTAAGGGTTTTTTAAAATTGTAAATTGTCAAACTCAAAATCGTAAATTACTTATTTCCCAACAAGCCACCATGAACCATCTCTCAATCACTCCTTTAATCACGTCAAACAGTAACATCTTATAAAACTCTCTCTAAATATGATTGTATCAGTTTCTATAAAACAACCTCCTAAAATAATCTTATAAAACAATACACAGTATAGGATAGGTTAAACTATGAAATGTGGCAACAATTTATATACGCTATCGTGTAGTAGGGGAACCATGACAGAAAATCGTGGCCTTGCACCATTGTTTCCCCCACTGAGTCAATGTACAATACAGTAAGGTCGACAACAAAACACATAACATTCACTGAAGTTGACGGGCGAACCGCCGTGGTTAGATAATATTACGCCCCCAGGAGCCGACGCATCGCTGGGATAAAAATCGACCAAATGAACAAAACGCAATCCAAAACACTTAAATACTACCTAATATCTGCTTTATGAAGGGGCGCCAAAGAGCGGGTAGTATCCATAGTTGATTTTGAAACAATAATACAGTTACATACAGTTAACAAGAGCGTTGTCCATGGTTCTGTTATAGACAATGGGGTTTAGTTGTAATGGACTTAAAAAGTATTAGTATATTGTTTCAAGCCATATTTGACTTAGATTGTTATCACAAACAATACAATGCGTTTGCTACATTCTAAATGTTAAGACTAGTGTGACCAGGATACCTTCAAAGAAAATCTACAACTACTTATTTTTGTTGATTAGTTGTTTTAAATATTATATTATTATTTTTCACCAAAATAGAATGAGTTGAGACTTATGTCTTCAAAATCTGGGTTAAAATCACGAAAATCTCCATCGTTGTCTAAGAGGTAATGTTGCAGCTCGATGGTTCGGAACCCTCGTTAGGCTGTGGTTGTAATATCAAGTAAAAAATAAGTAAATTTAGCGAAAAACACAGTTTTGGTGGAAAAATATCTTTCATCGAAAAGCCAAGATAATTTTGGTTAAAAAAACAACCAACAGTAGTAATACTTCGAATAACAACAGAAATGAGACAATGTTAAAGCTGTACAATTTTAATTTCCTCTGAATGGTTGTTAAAATATTTAATTTTACTTTTTCTAATTGGTGGAAAAAAACATTTAATTGTAAGTCTACACACCTACTTCACATTTGACGCCCCTTCCTATGTTTCGGATTTTTACATTCATCACCGTAATACAGAAGTACACTCCCTCCTAAAACCCGGACAAAAGGTATAAAGGAATTGGGACGATGAAGATAGAAATCCAGGGTTCTGGCAGGATTATTTTACACTACGAAATGTTTTTCGTTCAGTTGGCAAACACAGTCCTATTAAATGACACGCCGAAGTTTAAATTATACAAAATATTTTATTGTGTTTGCCAACTAAACAAGAAACGAACATTAGAGCAAGAGGGTGTTCTTGAACAGTGAGAAATCCCGCCGCCAGCCCAGGAACATTAAGCACCATTTATAGCAATATAAATATTAGTAATTAAAAATATACTCCATTTTGTAAAGAAATTAATCATTAAATTTATTTATGTCTTACGAACAAAATCCACCTACTAAAAGGGTTTGGGGGAGATAAAATATTATCTTTGAGGTTTCATAATGTTAAACAGGTTAAAGAGGTTTTAGGGATTATTCTTTGTAGTAGACAAAATTAACAAAATGCTGAATAACATATTTATGAATATTATTTTTAGTTCGTGTAAATTTCTCATACCAATTGCAAATAAGCGTTACAAATTTGTTTGATATTCAAATGTTTACCAAGGATATAAAATGTTGTACTTAAGCTTTGACAAGGTAGTATAGTTAACATTCCCTTGTTAAGGTTGTAGCCAGTTTTATCATGGATATGGAGATGAAAAATTGACTTAAAAACTTTCACATTTTAGAGGTGTACGTCAAAAATAAGGTAAAAAATGTTCATATATGTATATAGTTGAGTTTATCATTCGCTGTACAAAACAATTCCAACATCGTGTTGTTTAGTTTAGGCATCAGGGAGGCGGCGGGACTGTGTACCAACTATGGCTGAGCAATAATACATTGGCAGTAACTATTAACATTACACTATTGGTTAATACTTATAATCAGCACGGCTGATCGTATACCAGGCCATATTGAGGGTACTATAATATATCAAATTTCTTAGATAGGTGTACGCAATTTTCCTGTCAGCTCAACGACCAAAGGTTGAAACTCAAACTGCTTGGTAGCCTAGTGTTTTTAGTGCTCACATACAAATCAAATATGAATGTTGTAGATTGGATGGATTCAGAGAGAAAAAGTGATTCTGGGTCCAGATTTTTTTACATTTCTCCATCAATTAATATGCTATCTGACAAAGGGTTGTCTTTAGATAGTAACAAGAAACAATCAGTGACTGGATAATTCTCATACGATAAACTTTAAAACTGCCACTGGAGTTTGGGAAAGACTTTTGTACTCAGCGTCAGCAATTTTATTCCTTCGTAATCTATAACATAGCTTTTTGTCTCAAAATATTGTTAAAGACATAAATGTAAACTATTCATTTTAGATTTGTTCATAATAGAAACATATTTGTTGCAAAATATGTCATTTTAAGTTACAACCAAGGCAAATTGAACTGACTTAAATTATTTTCAAGGTTTTACAATTATTAAATACGGGTGGCTTGAGATTATGGATTAAATTTTTAGCCCTTTTTGGGTAAACAATGATTGTTTCAGCTTAAAAACAGAATACAATCTAAAATGTATTACAAAGTTTGAAATCATCTAGCCATATGCAATTTAAGTAGAGTCTAACAATCTTTTATGTCCTTTATTGGTTGTGTTTTACGCAAATCGCATACCCTCAATATATCCTGGAGTTACTACAGCAGCGCGACTATTGGTTGGTCCTGTAAGCTAGTTAAGATCCTCGGAGGATCACGAGTCCTCGACGCAGTCCGCACCGGATCTTTGAGGGTATAATTCCTCCGCAACCGCCTGGGGGTCTGTACTCCAGGAGTCTCGCACCTGAAAAACGGCGGGAAAACTTTGTTTAGGCCGGGAGAATATAGTTTAATATCTACAAATACAAATGAAGAAACGCAAGTTATATTTTATTTAGAACTTCTTAATATAGTTATAGCTTTTTGGATTTTTACTAGCACTAAAGAAGATAAAGTCCTTGTAAAGTTCTCGTCCATTTAAATTCCTTTAAACATTACAATGTAGCTAGAAAACTATATACATAGAAAAGTAGTGATTTAAAATGATCATATAATATAAGTTTCGTCCCATTTCATCAATGTTGTATGAATATGACAGTTTTAATTATTGAGACGAATAAGGGACCTCAACCTTGGATTCAACCTTGGTTAGCTGACTGCATTTCCTATCAGTCAACCTATAAATAAATATTAGTAAGTAACAAGGTGTAATGGACAAAAATAAAAATAAAATAAAAAATTTTAACGTTTTTGTAAAGGCAGGACCAATTTGTAATATTATCACTAGTAATTTGTTTGTAGCTTTTAATTATAATGATCAGTAAAACAACTATAACGTCCATGTTACAGCACAAAATAAATTACAAACAGAATATGATTATTGACGAACACATTGAGGCAAATCCAGATAATAATGTATACTGTACAACTAAGTGAATACAAAATATAATTTAATACATCTCATTTATGTAGGCCTACACGTAGTTAGTAGTTAATTATAAAAAAATAAAGCTTTATTCCTTGTTTGGGAACTAACTCACTAAGCAATAATTAATATCAAACAAGTATTATTCAGGCAAGATTACAATTTATTGTAACCAACGATTGCACTGTACCTCTTCCGCTTTGGCAAACACCCTGAGAAAGTTGAGGCCCGCCAGTTTTTTCAGTCTTGCCTCATCCCAGTTCGGGTCCTCCAGAAGCGTCGCGAAAAGGTAAGGATACCTGGACACATCTTCGAGACCTCTGGGTGGCCTGAGGGAGATAAATACGCTATATGTGGCTTACACAATAAGGCATAAAGTCTGTATGATGGGACCTGTCCCCTGATCCTTCGTGTAACAGGAACTTGCCCGAGCCTTACACCATTGGCCAGGTATCACGTAGACGGTCAGGAGACAGGTTTCATCATACAAAATATAGCAATTAAAATATAAAAAATATTGGTGAACAGTGGCTCAGTTGGTTGTATCGTAACGAACTGTGAATCCAGCACTAGACACAGCCGTTGAAATTTATCAGTTAATTTTATTCTTATACTGAAGCTCGTCCTCACTTTGCTTGGTTCATATAACGTACATGCATTCGAGACCAATTTGGATGGCAAAATTCATGGTAAGAAGAGCCAGAAATCCTGTTAGGAATGAAAATGTGAAGTTTAAATATTTAAAACTAAGGCTTCGAATGTATCTAACATTGTTGGATCAATTGTGACGAAAGTCCATTGGAATTTACTGGATAGATGCCTATTGCAATATGTTGCTGTTTTAATATTTTGACCTGCCTAAAACCTTGGACTTTTGAGTTGGGGCTTGGGGGGTTAAATTGGTTGGTCTCCATAGCAAAAAGATTAATACTTTTATTTTGGACTTTTAATTTACCTTAATCCGTCATTTTTATTCTTGCATGAGCTTATTTTTGACAAGTAACGAAATTGATTTGTCATATTATGTCGTTAAAATATGATCCAATCATCAATACTCCTACTGTAACTTTTATCTCCAATAGTTTTCTTGAATTAAAACATTGTTTCTTTTGTGATCTCCGTTCTGAAGTAACAAGTAAAGCTACTAGTAGTACATATTGAAATACACGTAAGATTTAGAAGAATTAAAACGGAAACAGAATGAAAGGGTTGTTGTGGATTAAGAATTAAGAATTTAAGAAATTTATAAATTAAGAATTTCATTACTCACAAGTTAATACCATCGTATCCTGCTCCTATCCCCACGTGGTCTTCTCCAGCAACCTTCCTGATGTAGTTTATGTGAGCTGAAAAAATAAATGTTACAATATGTAGGTTTGTTTCTAAACGAATTTATCAACAGGGCATTCAGTCGTTAGAGCATAGGATTTTTCTGAATATGGTTTTTTAATTACAATCGTATTTTGTTGCTCCAATAATCTAGAAAACAAACATTATTCTATCCTGCCAAACCGGTTCAATTGAAACTCAAACGATAGTAGAAAATGAGGATTGCGAGCCGAAACAACTGAGTCCGTAGATTAAAGGAAGAAATACACCTGTGGATTAAAAAGGTTGATACGATTTTTACCAACCACGCGTTCAGTATACTCCACAAAACTACTGCACGTTCCTTATGATTAAACCACTAAACTAAGTTATAGTGAATTCTATAGTTAATTAAACACAACAAAGATAGATGACTTCATATGTGTGATACATATGGTTTAGTAATACGAAAACGTGACGCCTTGTATATATGCCGAAAGTATGAAACAAATCATCATACATAAGAATTCACATTAAAAACACACAATAATGAAAAATATATTTTATTTTACTATAATTATCTTACCAATTACGTCCTGTAGAGTAGCAGACTGATTGCAGGTTATGAACATGGAATAGAAATTCACCATTACGATCCCCCCGTTTAAGGCCTGAAACCATAAAATATGCTTTAGAATTCATTTCAAGACCTAGTTTACGACTTTGAAGTCAACAGCAATAAAAAGATCCAAGGAATAGCGTGTAATTCAAGGAGTAAACTGCATTAAAACTTTTACGGATTCAAATGACATTTTAGAACGGTCGTAAATATGCAAATTTAGTTGTAAAGTAGTTCACAATGTTCAGTTGAAGTCGTCATTCTCGCAGTTCCCAACTTTTCAAGCTTCAGCGAGTTGTGTTTTTGATGAATATTATTCTAGAATTGAAGTTTAAATTGACATTTTTTATTCTTGTTGCCATGGGAAGTCCTACAGATGGATGTGGTTTATTTTTTACTAATTATTGTGTTTCTTTAAGTAGTTCAATTTCCTAACAATTTGGATTGAAGTTTGTTGGCTACTTACATAGTCTTCATCATACGCATAAATAATCGAAAGTTCTAAGCACAGCAAATTAGATTATCTGTTTATTTTTAAGGTTGGAGTGAACCAACGGGCATGTGTGCGAAAAGCACAAAGGAAAGCAAATATTCAGCTTTTTTATAGACATTCTCTCATCCGCTAAACGATCTAGTTTAAATTAACAAGGCTTAAAAATCTTCCTAATTTTAGTGTGTGCCCTCAATTTGTTTAGACTGATAACAGCCAAGCCTACTCACAGGCACCTGCCCATGTAGGCCTATCCCATAAGTAAGGCAAATTTATCTTAATTTTTTTTTACTCTAATGTTGTTTGGCTACTCTCTGTTTAAGTTTATAATTCTTGGGATAAATAAACGTTTTTCATTTAATTTCATCTAAAATTTTATAAGAGGTGAAATTGCAACAGTCTCAACATACAACATACGTAGACTGTGGTATTGTTGCACCTCAAATCAAACTTTGAATTTTCTTTTTACTCGTTTTCTGTATGCACCCTATTTTTAAATATCATGCTGATCTTTACAAACAATTATATATTTTTAATATCACGGGATTTAAAAACATCATTAACCGTTTCTAATGCTGAATAAATGCTGTTTGTCGGACATTATTTTTCAGTTTCTAAAAAATACTTTTTGGATGATCAATTACGAAGTATAGAAGTAAAAAAATACATAAAATACATTTAATCCCTACTCCCATTTCATGACACTATGACCTTAAAGCCCACCATGCACAAGTCACGGTAAAAAAAAAATATTACTAACCACTAGTTTGAGCACGTGGTCAGGCACATTGCGAGTTGAGTTGCACAAATGAAATGCGGAGGAATGTGAGAAAATGACAGGAGCCTGTGTGACATTCAGGGCGTCCTCCATAGTACGTACTGACGTGTGGCTCAGGTCTACCAACATTCCCAGCCTATTGAGCTCCCGTACTACCAACTGTGAAAAGATAAAACGTAAGAAAATGACAGGAGCTTGTGTTGGTTACATTCAGGGCGTCCTCCGTAGTACGTACTGACGTGTGGCTCAGGTCTACCAACATTCTCAGCCTATTGAGCTCCCGTACTACCAACTGTGAAAAGATAAAACGTAAGAAAATGACAGGAGCCTGTGTTGGTTACATTCAGGGCGTCCTCCGTAGTACCATGTATGTAGTACGTACTGTCGTTTGGCTCAGGTCTACCAACATTCCCAGCCTATTGAGCTCCCGTACTACCAACTGTAGTATATTTAATGATTTTATGTATTCAATATTATAGTTGTAAAACAGCGTTTCTTGTAGGAAACCAGATTTGTATAAAATGTAAGTGTGTGTTAGTGTGTGTGTACATCTCGCCACGTCTGTGACGTCATATCAGGTGATTTTTAATAAATTCCCATTGGCTGCCGCGACCACGCTATACCCTGCATCTAACCACTACGTCAGTCCGTCCTAGTCCTGCAACCGTACACTTTTATCCCGGTCCGTGCAGCCCGTGGTATTAACTAATTATGTAGTTTTTATTTCTCACTAGTCCCGTCTCCTGTCAAGTTAAGACGTCGTCACACCGGCGACGTCACACCAAATAACTGTGAAAAGATAAAAAGTAAGAAATTATGGTCTGTGTGATATTCAGGGCGTCCTCCATTATTATGTACTGACGTGTGACATAGGTCTACGTACCAACATTAATAGCCTGTTGAGCTCCAGTACTACCAACTGTGAAAAAATAAAACGTAAGAAAATGACAGGAGCCTGTATTGGTTACATTCAGGGCGTCCTCCGTAGTACGTACTGACGTGTGGCATATGTCTACCAACATTCCTAGCCTGTTGAGCTCCCGTACTACCAACTGTGAAAAGATAAAAAAGAACATTCCCTAGGGCAACTTCGCTTCAGTTCGATTAAATGAAAGAATCTTTAATCCATAATCAAAGTTATATGATTTTGTTTTAATGTAAATTTGTTTTAAAATTGAATATCTCTTTAATATATCTCTAAAACATGTTCAAAATTAATGTTGTACTACAAAAAGTTCAATTAAACAAAACATGTCATTATGCTGAAGTTAAAAAGCCAACGTATTGCCTGTTGCAAATGTTACAATAACAATATCAATTTCCCAAAAGATTTTGTGGCATTCAGTTTATTAGGTTAATCCACCGATCTCTATTACTACAACCATTACAACATTAAACACGTTAATAGTCGTTGATAAACAAATAAATTACATCTAGTAACTTTTTCAAAGTACTCTATTTTTATTTTGTTAATTTCCTAATTATAACCGGTTATGATGCTTAAACCTCATTTGCACTTACAATTAAAATCATTAATTAAAACACTAACCAACATTTATGCTATCAGGATGATTATGAATTAATGATGACCTAAAACGAGTGCCCCTTGTTCCCTTGTTACTGACAAAAACCGTATGATTAATTGTCCACAGTCATTAAACCGATGATTAATGACTCGTGTGTCCAGTGTAACCTTTTCAAACCTTTGAGATTTTTGCATTAATGTACATACTTCTAAGTAAATAAAATAAAATAAACAACTTAAAATAAAAACTTTACTTTAAACCCGGTTAAACTTTATAATTTAATTTGAGTTTTTAATCAGCAGAATATTAAGGCATTTTAACCTTGGAGAGACTAAAATCAATTACATTTTTTTATGTTTATTCACTTACGTAGATGTAAAACATTACTCTATGTGTCAAGTGTAACAAGACTAAATTTCCGATAATATTTCTGTAATAGTAAAACAAAATACTAGTTTACCTATTTTTACATTATAATAAATTTTACGGTTAAACTGTATTAAGTGTTTTTAGAAATTCCAAAGATACTACTACATGAAAATTACAAAATACATATTTTAAATCATGCATATTTAAAGAATTATATAGGCCAGAATTAAAACACTTTTGGGTTTAAAATGACAGACAGTAATTTTTATTCACGTACATAGATATAAAGGGAATCTTAAATTATAATAATGAATATCATCGTTAAAACCACAAAAATTCGGTCTGGTGTTACCTCAGGGTCATTAATAGATTTACAAAATATAGCTTACTGGTATTACGATATTTATAATTTGAACACCTCTCGGTACTAATGTAAAAATACTCCCTGGACTTCTTCTTGATTAATTTAGTACAGTATATTCTTTGAAAGTTATTGTTTATATGTTTTCCTTATGGTCAGTCTTTGAATAAATTATATATTTTAAATATAATTGAAAACAGTAATGTCTGTAAATAATTTGCTGTTTCACATATGTTACAACTCATTTTTTACGTGTTCACTTCAAAATGTTAACATCAATCTAAATTTTCCATAATACTTTTACTATATTGTATCTAATAAAATGATGTATACATAAACAAATTTGTATTTACTTCACAAAATAAAATTTGACTTTCAATTGTAAATGCTAAACTCGAAGGAATTAAGGGAATTGTGGTTGCAGTTTTGAATGTAAAGGGTTTCGAGTGGTTGACTCTAATGTTTGCTGTTCTTTGACGTCTTTTAAGTGGCTTTCCATGTAGTTATACAAACGTACCAACCTAAAACCAACACCCAATCGACAAACACTCCTGAGGTGGAACTTGTCCTCTCAACTCGGTTTAACCTGAAATTAACTGCGTTCTGAACTGCATATTGCTTTATCATCATATTAAAATGCGTTTAAAACCTATAAGAGCTAAAATAACAAATATATTGTTAACTTTATTTTGATGAAATCAGTAAATTCACGTTTTAGCTGTGTTTACTTATAGTGTATTTAGTTATATGTACGAAAGATCTTTATTTATTATATGTTTATTAAATATGCGTTTACAATTTGTTCACAGAAAGTATAGCCTACACGATTATGAAAACTGAGTGTTTGTGGTTTCGTTAAATTAAAAATATTAATCAATGTAGGCTCATACTGTAGATAGTTTATTTGATAAAAAAAACTTAAATAAAAATGGTGATTTAATGTGCAACTTGTTCTATACTGTAGTAGAAATGATTTGTCAATCATTAAATTTAGCTAGAGAAAATGTTAAGATGTTTTTATATTTTTTATTAATTGATCGCATTTTAATGTTTGCCATTGATTCGTTATTATGATGATGAAAAAATATTACACCCAAATAAAATATCCATTCATGGCCTTTGAATTTTCAGGTATCATAATACAAAATTTAAGCACGCTTTAAAAAAAAGCTGTAGTGAATATTATTGCACTCTAACGTAACTACAAGCTTAGGACGAGAAGATAAGTGTACTTAATGTATCGGTACCCTATTTACAATTTTCTTTTATAAAAAAAATAGGTACTTACGTATTATACGGAGGCCACCCTTACACAACGCGCTGCGGCGGTTAGGTTTGGTCATCATGAAGCTTTTATGACTTGTCTGGTTCGATTCATAACGAAAGTAGGAAAGTCCTACAAACATATTTATAATAGACCAACCTAACCTAACCACCGCAGCGCGCTGTAAAATAAGTGGCCTCCGTATAATACGTAAGTACCAAAAATTAGTATGTTCATATTATCATACATTTGTTATTTATTGTGAGATTATTTTAAGAACGTTGTTAGGACTCAAGTATTCTACCTAAGCTAATGAAACATTTAGTACTGATTTACTTAATTTATAAGGCAAAATAAAATATACTTACAGAACCAAAATGTGAGAGGCCATCATTCTCCTCGTCCTGCCCAACGCAACAACCTGCCCTAAAAACCAGTGGCATGTGATGATCAAGGGTTTCGAATTTTTCGAAAATATTCGTAACAACAACAAATAAGAAAATGTGCTTAATAACAGTAGTTTAACTCAGTTAAATTATTCTTAAAGTTTTACTCAGTTTTATTACTTTCATTATAAGAGTGTAATCTCGTTGAGAATAACAATAAATAGATTTATAGCGACCTAATTTAAAAGGATTAACGTGGTCAGTATGAGTTCATTTTTGGTTTTCAGTAATAGTTTTTTCATCGGCTTAAATAATTATTCTTGTTAATTGCATTTGTATTGAAAACTAATAATTTCAAGAGACTTAAACATGCTCTAACTATGTACTTAATTTTTTTTATTGAATAAACACGTTACATTCCGTCCCAACCCACACTCCTGTATGTCAGGTCCATCATGAATAACAGTAACAGTGAGTGGGTTAAGCCACTCGGTTTGTAGAGCTCAAATTTTGTAAACGAACCAACGAACGTTAATGAACACGTAAATAATTAACACCTGAGATAGCATGTTAAACGGCTATGCAACGCTAGCCATTCAGTTAATATACTAAAAGCATATGCATTGCGTATACACCTTATAGTTAGCCAGGTTTGTTCTACCTTTGTGTAATATTTCACCTCAGTAGGTTCAGCCACGTTTGTGCACGCAGACACACCGGTGGAATTCACAGATATTTATTTACATAACAGATTACTAGTCTGTGTTATAAATAAAAATTTACCTAACCGATTAAGTATTTGAATTATAAAATATTTACTCCATTTTACGTAGTTTCAAAACAAATATTGTTCAATAAATAAATTGGCCCAGTAAAATAAGATAAATCACGCTTAAACCTGGGCAAAATTACTTCACAAGCCATTGGAGTCGTACTTAACCAAGAAAATGTTGCTTTATAACATATCCAAAATCCGACGAAATCAAAAAATGGAAAATTACAAAAAAATCTAATTCAAAATGGCAAAAAAATTATTTCAAATAGTTTTAAAGACTTTTGGTCATATTGGGATAACTGAAAGCACAAAACATCAATTAAATATCAGATTAAATGTTGGAATATAAAAATAGCCTGACTCAAGATAGCTTTGAATAATCGTAAACAAATTTACCAGGAAGTTGAAAAAAGATTAAAATCAAATCCACGCCAGGGAAGAGAGGCTTACGGTCGCTGGATGTATTTAATTTCCAAGCCCTAAACCTTTTATTCATGCAACAGTGAACCGTGGTAAAGTTAGCTGGCAAGAACAATATTTTTGTCAGTATTTTATCTGCATATCCCACCTTTTCACTCTAAAAACGAGAGTCTGATCCATGTTTCCCAATGGATAAAATAAAACGATTGACTTTCAGTAATTTGAGCGTACGTGATTTACAGTTTTCAACCATAAATGGAAATCTCATCATCATTAATCTAATTTAGTAAACAACAATGTGCTAAAAATAACTTTATAGCAAAGTCCAACAGGCTACAAGAGACCTGTAAGACACTATTTCCATGTATACTATACTATGTATACACTATTCAGTAATGCGAATACAAAAATAAGTATACATACCATGGAGTATGACACGTGTGTGTAAGAGTAAGATAGCGAGCTCCTAGCGAGTAATACATGCGAAGTACAGCGAGTGAGCTTGCCAATGAATGACCTCCCTCCACTCCCACTAGGCTGGCTATCTTGCCTGCTCTGTGAGCCTCTAGAATACCTACAATAACCAACGACAATAACAGACCAAGATATGAGATTGTAGAGTAAGATAGCGAGCTCCTAGCGAGTAATACATGCGAAGTACAGCGAGTGAGCTAGCCAATGAATGACCCCCCTCTACTCCCACTAGGCTGGCTATCTTGCCTGCTCTGTGAGCCTCTAGAATACCTAAAATAACAGACCAAGGTGTGAGACTGTATAGTAAGATAGCGAGCTCCTAGCGAGTAGTACATGCGAAGTACAGCGAGTGAGCTTGCCAATGAATAACCTCCTTCTACTCCCACTAGGCTGGCCTTGCTTGCCTGCTCTGTGAGCCTCTAGAATACCTAAAATAACAGACCAAGGTATGAGACTGAACAGGTAGATAGCGAGCTTCTAGCGAGTAATACATGCGAAGTACTTATTACCATACCAATGAATGACCTCCCTCTACTACCACTAGGCTGGCTATCTTGCCTGCTCTATGCTTGGCAAAAAATGTAAAAAAAAAACAGAAATGAAGACAATATGTTAAACAATTTGCGCTAATATTTACGCAGTTCAACACTGCTAATACATTGATCAGTTGGGACCAAAGGGCAGAACGAGCTGATAATTACCAAACAATGGCACTTTCTCTCTTTGTCTTGCACCTATTCTCTTTCTCATCCCACTCAATTTTGTGTACGATTAGTGGTGTTTTACATAAGCGTTTTATTAGTAGATACTTGATGTTTACTACACCATACTATACAGGGAGGGTGTTTCGAAACTCTCTTTAAAAGATACATACACACTGACAGGCGGAAAACGAAGCGAGATACGGTGCCTATGTTTAAATGACATATATGTTCTGTTTTGACCTAAAAAAAGACAACTAAAATGTGAATTTTAAAATAATTTAAATACATTTCGATATAAAATATAGATTTACTTGGACATAATTTTACACAAAAATTTTATATTTGTTCATATAAGTGTATACACTACTCTTTACGGGCCTTAAGTTTGTATAATGGATTAATAACGAAGTAAGCTTTTATTTCACATACAAATAGTTGTAATTAAATCAATAAAATATGGATTTTTTTAAGTTTTTTGTAAAGCTCTATAAAATTAACTTAACATTTACTGTACTACGTATTAACAGGACTGTATTAACCAGAATAATCTATAAGTTACTATTACCCATATCTAGTCCTATATAAAACACAAAATAAACATAACTATACAGTATATATTTAGTATATATACTAAATAAATCTGGTTTTCATAAAGTTTTCAATTAAGAAAAGAGTAAGCTGGAACATTATTTTACAAAATAGATAGATGTAACTTGCTCAAAGTAAATGTCCTGGTAAGGAGGATGAATTGGTTACGGCAACTCTGAATTAAAAGTTACGACCGTTCGGTTGAACTTTTAATATCTCTTTTAATCAAGCTAGAACAAACGTTTATCAAGATAATTAGGTTTTCACCTTTGAAAATCTGGTTTTCTTGTTACGAATATTATGAGTTCGTAATCTCTATACCTTTATACCTAAAATATAATAGTTTTAAAGTATGTCAAACGATTTCTCACACTAAATAGTACGTTGTTGTTTTCATGGATTATTAATTTTACCAACCTGAGGCTGAAGATACAAACTGCAGATCTCTGCTGTAGAGCTCGACGAGTCTTCGTATGACGTCTATTTGCTCCATAGTGATGTGGACAGCATCCATGTACTGCGAGCCGCAGGGCACGTAGGCCGACCAGAACTGCACAGAGGAAAGACAATTTATTTATCATGTGTGCTTCAGAAGATTTAGGCTGCTTATAACTTTTAGGTTGAAAAGTCTTTAGTGATGCTACAGCAAAAAATGCTGTTTTCAAAACACGATTCAGGATTTACGTATCTAAATCAGTTAGTTTCAGCAGACAAATTATCGTTTGGTGGTAAAACCGTCAGCTGTTCATTTTTCCCACTTCCAATATTCTTAAAAAAAATTGTAAATTAGTTTGGTTTATTCCACTTCAGTAATATATTTTTCCTACAGTTACCTAACAATGTACATGTTCTCTCACTGATTTGAGAAAGCAAAGTGGCCAATTCGCTCATCAGTGTTAACAATACAACACAGTGAGTGAGTGTTAACATTGTCTCAATCTAATTACTTTGTCTCACTCCAGGTTTGCAACGTGAAGGCACGAGATAGTGAGCGCGTAACATGCAGGCAACGTCGTATGCGCGCGAAATACGTTGGCAGCACTGGCTGTAAATCAGCTGGTCAGCTGTTGTACTGTTGTATTTTTCACTCCACATTAAATGTTATATTAAAAGTTCACTTCTGTGTAAAAATAGGTTATGTTTCTTCACCAATTTATTTGTTTTATGGTAACTGTAGGAAAAGTATAATGTGCAACTCGAGTTCAAAGTACAATTGCCTCACTCGAGAAACCATTCCTCACTCGCCAACGGCTCGTGTGTAAGGATTCCTCTCGAGTGAGTCAATTGCTCACTTTTCTCACTAGTTGCACAAATAACTATTTCCAGTGTTAAGACAAATTTAAATGAACTAAAATTTCTGTAAGTTTGTATTTGTAAGATTTTTTTGTATATGTTTTCCTATTGTGTTTGGTGAGTCATTCCTATTGCATCTAGCTTTTCTTGAACTGTAGTATTTATTCACTGTTCTTGATAAAGTCTTTGAATATGTCTGTACTCTGAATAGCAGCATAAAGTACCAACGTCATAACAACGTTATGCTTTATAAAATAGATTTAAATTGCTAACATTTTTAATATCTATATATCTGCAAAGCTATATGGCAAGCTTACATTTGAGAGAAATCTAGAATGGAATAGGCTCCTGAATGGGTTAAGAGTAAAAAACATAATATAGATTTAGTCAATACTATTATTCCCGAAATAAAAATCTGTGTTTTTTTACATAATTGACATTAAACTACAGTATATTCACTAGCATTACTAACCTGGGCGCCAACCAGTCCTGCCCGCAGCCTTGGAAGGTCCGTATGACTCCAGTTCGACCTGGACCATGGGTCTACCTCGGTCAGGTCCACGGAGAAGTTGAACAAAGCCAGCTGGTTGTGAACAAAGCTGCGGATGTTCCATGGCAAGTCGTTGTGTCTAAAACAAATGTAATTGTTAAAATACCCCCGCCGCAGCAAACCTGCAGACTAAGCGAATTTCCATTTGCCTAATTGGATTTACACTAAAATGTCTCCTTAAAAATATCACCTTTATTCCCTATTTAAATCAAATCAGTTTAACACATACTTAGGTTTGCTGCAACAGGGAGGGTTAAAGTGTTTTTTTATGTAAAATGTTAATAGTTAGTAAGAAATAAAAACATTTTCCAAATTTGAGCAAAATATGTTAATAAAGCAAACTACAACAGTTTACTTATCCTCCATAAGAATAACATAGGAATTTTAAATTTACAACTTTTTTGAATTTTCTCCGTAACCATTAGGCGCATTATAACGCTTCAATATACTAAATTATTTGTTTTTTAAGCTCTACAAAATAGTTTGGAAAGAAATTGCAAAAATTTAAGTTTTTTGGGTCAAAAATGGGAAAAACCCATTTTTACCCCATAAAAGCCCCCATAAACCCCCGTTCCCATGGTCCGATCATGCTGGTTCGCGAACTCGTTCGAATAAACGTAGGTTTACACGTTTGTACCAAATTTCATCAAAATCGGATCATTTTTGCTCGAGTTATCGCGCTAACGGACACACACATATATATATATATATAAATATATATATATGTATATATATATATTTATATGAATTTGAACGGATGCTATTTTTGGCCTCTAGGGACCTCAAAACGAAAAAAAATCGGTCCCGGGTCCAGGTCTTACCATGAGTACTACGGTAATAGCTTATTCCCTATATGGGAAATTCGCTAAAAGAAACTAGTTGCGAATCGATAGCTCAAAGGAATTTTTAGCAAATGTTTGTGATAGTTGGTGGATTATTTTAAATACGGGAAAAATTTTGCCAGAGTTAGTAAATACCCCGCTGCAGGTTTACCTTTTACAGTCATTAATTGACAGTAGAATGATGATAAAATGTCTGACACCAATTGGGTTCATAATACAATCTATAATTTGTCTTTGAAAATATACTTTATAGGGTTGCCCAAATTTTGTTGGAATTAAATATAGTAACTTCTATTAAAACAACTAGTTAATTGAGTGTTAATTAAGGCTAATTAAGTGCATCCCTGCACGTTTGATAACACTATTTACTATGCAACCTAACTTGTTTGGTTACAATTCACAACAAATCGTGTTATATTTAGCATTATAAAAAAGCCAGTAAAGTTGATTACACGTTGCTTTACAAAGTCTAGATATTTTATCTAATAAGAAAGCTTAAACTTAAAAATAAATATCCAATACAACGCGAAACAAGATACAACGTGAAAGTTTTTGAGAGATAAACATTTTAGGTTGAAAAAGATATTGCCATTTAATTTCGTAAAAGGCTATTTCAAAGGCTCTCACTTCAATGAAGCCATTACTTCAACGGTTAGACATTCAAAAGAGTTTCTGCGCCCTTTTGTCTGATATCTGATGGTATCGCCCTCACAGTTCACAAAGAAATGAGCAACATGCTACGTTACAAATGGAGTACATTTGCATAGTTTGTTTCATGATAAGTGTGGGTAATTACAATTCACCATACTAACTCCTTTCTCCTATATTTATTACATGTGGCACTATTCAATAGTTTAATTATTGTTAAGTATGACGTATATTCTATAAACATAAAGCAAAATAATTTGCTCTTTGTGCTCTCTACATTGTGATTGTAGGCAGGTTTCCACATGTTGCTGTGCAAGCAAGGACGGTTCTTTACCCACGTGCAATTATATTATTGGATTATATTGCAATAGTTCGAAAATATCAACGTCAATTAGTAAAAAAAGAGGTGTTGGACGGTTCTCGTACAAAAATGTTTTAAAACACCATTGTTATTTTATAAAAGATCACACAAATAAATTATCTGATAAGGGTTTCGGCCTGGTCCTCCGTGGTCCATAGAGGTTTTAGTGATTGTAGGCCCAATCTGGGTCAGAAAATTACGCATTTACCATACAAAAAGAAAATAGAACGAGCAAAACACAACATTTCATGGCAACATTTCCACTTCATGGATAAAACTTACGGGGTTTCCACGTCTGGTGTTCTCGACCCACTTAACGAATCTCCACTTCAATAATTATAACAAGTTAGTTTACAAGAAGATAACATCTTTCATTGTTTATAATTCAAAATATTGAGTCAACGAATGCACTTTTATCACAATAAATATGTAGTCCAATGTAGGTTACAGGTATCTGCATTGAATTCATTACATTATAAAACCCCCTAATCCGCATTGCAGCTAAGCTGGGGTTATAAGTCTGTTTTTATTGTTATTGTGTACAAAATACAAAAATAAAACCAACTATTTTCTGGTCGTAATTATAATTGAGTTAATCTTTTATTTATTTAATACCAATAAAGGTACTACGTAATTTCATTGATACTCACTAATTTATGAAACCCACTTAATTAAATAACGAGTATGTATTAAAATCTATGTTATTTATTATCAAATTATAGTCAACGCTATGATCAAATAAAGGTAAAAAATATTAAATTTAAATGAATACTCAGATGCAAAGAAGTGTAATTGAAACTTAAAAAGCTGCTGATTCAATTTCAATATGAAATTACAATCCTAACCAACATAAATAGGAAGCCATCTAATAAAGATCTCTTGGTGATTAACAAATTTCATTTGCCATCATGACCTTAACGAGAGGCTGTTCAAAAGGTTTTATTTTACGTAAGTTTTCAACTTTTTGAAGGTATATTATTTATTATTATAAATAACTGTCTTAAGTCTTCATTCTAATATGTTTCATCATGAAAAACGTAAACGGTTACGTACGTATCCATTCATGTAAATCACTAAACATTTATATAAATACTAACTGACCATACTCATTCCCGTTACGTTCATTCTGTAAAAGGGTATTTATTATCCATTCCCATAAACTGAGTAGAAACAAAATATTATGGCTAGGTAGTTGATTATTTACAATGCGTGCTTTCAAATTTGAGGGTCACTGGTTCGAACCTAGCGGGAAGAAAATTTGGGCCCGGCTGACATGTGCGATTTCTAACCGAAGGACAACGACGAATGAGACGGATAAAATAAATAAGAAACAAGAAGAGGATATGACGAGGATTTGAACTATTTCCTCCTCAAAAACGTGGATTTGACATTATGTGTACCCTTTCCCCCTTATATTTTCTATCAATCCCCCTTATAAATCTTTAGTTAGTCAATCGATTGTACAAAAAATGTAAAATAATAATTTAAATAAAAATTACAAAACTAGAAACAATTATATGTGAATACTTGATGCAATTATTTTTTTAGCATATGTTTAGTCATTGGTAAAAAAGGAGGCGGAAGGATGAAGGAAGCCCATTGTGTCTGGGGCCATTTGTGTAGCGGAAAATCATTGACTCGGGCGCCTTTGAGTTTCACTGATAAAGACTGCTAAGCTCAGTTGGAATGAGGGGTGTATTTTAAAAGCCTGAGGACCCAGGAAATGTTATGTACTTGTTTATTGCACGTACAGTGGCCGATGGTTTGAGGGTCTAGCCAAACACACGAATTTGTTAATCCGTTTAACGACTCGGGACAGGAACAGAAATGGAGTGACAAAATAGTTAAATTCAAACACATTACCGATTCTTCTTCATGGGTTATTAAAATTAATACGTCAATAATACGTATGGTACTAGATATTGAATGTTGGTTATAATTTTTCTTACATTCTTAGACTTGATTGCCCTGAAAAGCAGTCTATACTGAGAAACTCTCATATGTAAGTGCATTTTTATTTAAAACCTATATTGATTTTTATATAGTAGCAAATTAAATACTTCAGATAATGAATAGATCCAAAGTTATATTTACACTGACGCGTGTGACATTCTTGTATATATATAGCAATAGCATAAACCCTGAACATCACTTGTTAAATTTACTCAGTTGGAAACAATTCAGGACCTTCTTATAATTAATTGAGTTTGTGTAGTTTTCTTTCAATTAAAATTTATTATTAAGAATAAAAGTTATTGCTATCCCTTAAAAATCATGTGATAGTATCTGTTGCTTTACCAGTTCTGGGTAAATGATTGGGCTTGTTTTGAATTATTTTTCAATAATAGTTCCAAAAACCAATAATGTTTAAATATTATAAATAATTCATAATATTTTTTTTTTTCTAAAAGTACAACTTGGTAATTATTTGGTGGTGTTTTAGACACATTGATATAAGAACAAAGTAAATAATTGCCCTAATTCGTTTGATGATCAATGTTGAACAGATATTATTAAGTTTAAATTTATGTGACAAAATTATGTTATCTGACGAGTCATTGACCTTGAACCGTGCTATTTGACTTATATTTAATTTTCATTCAGTATTTACAACATTTACAGAATCGAGACTTGACCACTTTTAATGACAGCTCGTACTAACGGTTGATGTATGATGTTTGTTTCTATTCTGTTATGTAAAAAACCATATGTTTGTCCAAATATCAAACACAATTGCTCCATTTATTAAAAAAAAACCTTTTGAACCTGTTTTAGTGGGGCCTAATTCATAGCAGGTATTAGAGTATAATGTAGATTCGATATTTTATTCGTCAATTGTATGATAAAGCGTAAGCTCTAATACAAAACAATTACAAATATTCAAACAAATCTGAACTTGAATACTGCTCTTTCAGTCCGACAAGCTGTTTCAATACAATTCAATAGACAGGCACTGATTGTTGGACACTGACATACATACAAATCTGCGTCCTATTTGAACACGAGTCCAATCATCATTGAGAGTCTATGTTGAATCGTTGTGCTGAGATGACGCACAAAAGCCTTCAATTGCAAAGCTCAAACCAAACCGTCTCATTTCAAACGCCATTGTACTTGATGCACAAACATGCTGCAGATTTGATGCATTGCATGGATGGTAACTAAAAATATTTTGTAAGTTTAAATGAAATGCTAAATATTTTCCATGGAAGTAAAGTTAGTTAGGATTTTAAAGTCCTTTTACCACTTTTGTACTTTTGTACTTAGTACGATGGTATAAACGAAATAAACAATTTCACATAGAAGATAAAATAAGATGGACATTATATCTACTGGTTAATTAACTACCTTAAACAAATTGAAAACATGAACTATCCATGTAAATGAAATTTTGCACAAAAAACGTCACTCCAGTGCCAGACTCTCCCATGCTTGATCCTTAAAAAATATATATCATTCTCTGCACCTAGCACTGTTATTAAGAAGATCAGGCAGATAATTTTAAAATATAATTGCAGATACATATATTTAAAGAAGACAAATTTTATGATCTTAAGAAGATGAAGCAGATAATTATAATTGTGGATGGATATTTTTGGAAAATTACTTAGACTGTTGTTTAATGAATGAATGTAAAAAAAACTCTTCTGTGGGTGAATTAGATGCCAATTTCAGAAAGAACACAAAAATCCTCAAATAAAAATTTCCAACTTGTTGCTTAGGTTGAGTAGGTTTTGACATAGTTAATGACCTATTTATCAGTACTATTATTATTTATGTGGAATTTGAGGCAAAACACATACAATATTTTTAAATCATATTTAAATATAGCACACACGTTGACATACTAAAAACTAAAGTGATTATAATATAGATATCTACAAATCTGTGAGATTAGAAACGTTCTTTATATTTTCGAATTGTTCTCCAAGAGAGACCATGAAAGCTAACGGCCATCTTGGATTTGCCTACCACAAGAGCAAAGTTAATTTCGTTAATTTCAAAGAGCCACTGAAGAGTTATATACGATCTCAAAATAATGCTTCAAACACCAGAGGGAATGTAATTTAAATATCTAGTAAACTGCGCGATTAGAAATTCTCTTTGTAATTTTTCAGTTGTTTGTACGAGCTAGAATGTCTAGGCTCCAAGGACTCTTCGTAGGGTCTCCTGTAAGGATTAAGAGGCCTAAGCTTTTTTGGTACAGTCTTGAAATCAGCATAAAAGTTTGATCCAAACTCGAAGGAAAAAGTGCATATGCAACGCACAATACAATAAACATGTAGGCATATCACAAATTATAGTTACGAGATGAATAAACTATTATAACATCTTCCGTGATTTATAAACAAACACCATTCAGAAGAGAAATATTTTTTTACTAAGAAAGGAAACATTAGTTAATAAAGACATATCAAAATACTAAACAAGAATGGTCATTCATCATCGTGAAATAACATAAGTTAAAAATATTATTTACATAGACTTTTTTAAATTGTTGGTCACAATTGTAAATACCTAATTTTTGATCAGAAATCTAAACATCTAAATTATAACAAATGTTGGATCTTCGATTGATGCTTGGATTGGACGATGATTGGAATTTCAAATCGAAGTTGATTGACATTTGTAGATATTTCCTGTCTTTTTTATTTAGTTGATTTATATCTACGCTAATTAAATTTTCAAACAGGTTATCACAGACGATCTTTAGGGGAAACCGACAAAACTCATTAAATTTTGTAGATATACCAAAGATTAACCCCATTACTCGGCCAAGTCCAGGACGCCAACCTTTAACCCAGCAATACTCTTATATAATTATATGAGTATAATTGTCCGGGTAGCCGAATGGTTATAGTGCTCGTCTACAGATCTGAAGGTCGCTTGTTCGATTCAAAACGTGATCATTTCCAGAACCAGATGCCATTTGTCATTGGAATATGGATTAATAAATATCTAACAAAAGGGTGGACGTTAGATAGTAACGAGACGAGGGTTTGGACCGTTCCTTTTCTAAAACATAAAAATTCTATTAAGAATAAGAATAAGAATAAGAAATGTTTATTGCCATAATAATACAGAAATGTACAGGGCAAAAGTCACTAAAACTAAACAAATAAAATCAGACCCATATTGGCATAGAAAACACATAAACAACATAATTTAGGGTATTTGCGCAAAGTCTATGTTTAAACTTAAAATATTCGTTCATTATTTGTATTATGTTTGAATTTCCTTTTACAATGTAGTTAATTATTCCTTATAACCACATCACTTGACTTTATATAACGTAAATTATGTTAAAATATCTAATCAACAGTTTCCACTCGTTGTATAACAGGATACTCCATAAATCTTCTCGCAAATAAATCTTTGTGGCGAAATATTAAGGACAATCTGCAAAAACAATTGAAAAACAGTTCAGCAGATCTTATGGAGTGTCAGTTTACTCTAATGAAGTTGTAACGTTGACAAATGTAATTTGAACGTAATTACTAACGTAATTGAAACAAACAAGCTTAGTTAACGATCCATGACGCTATTTGCAGCTACATGTAGGTCAATCCTGTTTATCACTTTGGGATAGAATCTATAACTCCTGGAGGGGGTGGGGGGGAATCTCCACTGTCAAAGATCAACTCAACACTAGAGATCAAGTTATAAATGTGTGTCTTTGAACATAAAATATAACAATAGCAATATTATTGAATGGAATTATTATGGTTTTTAGTGTGTTTATCTAATAGTTTATTTATTTATTTTATTTTTATTTATAAGGTAAATAGCTGATAATGTACAACTAGGTCAAGGTCACGACAAAATTAGACCTCCTCCAAAAATGTCAACTACGATCGGGTTTGATGGGGCTATTTTGTCATAAAATATAACCACCGCAGCAATCTTTCAGACTAACGAATTTCCATTTGTATGATGTGTTCCTTAAACATGTCAGATTTATTCCCCATTTAAATAACATAAGGTTTATCAAATACCTAGGTTTGCTGCTAGAGGGAAGAAAACAGTTTTCTTGGGTAACGTGTTAGTAGTAGGCCTATAGGGTACAATTATTTGTTCCGGGTCTTACGTCCTAGGTCTTACCGTGCCCCTTATGGTAATAGCTTATTGCTAAAATAACTAAGGAGTTCAAAGCTTTTTGGACTGTATCCTTCTTCACGTATTACTGGTGTTTGAAACCACGATTCTTAAAAGAAATAAAACATCAATTTAAATCTAATTAGAGGTATTGTTATTAACTTTTCATACTGTAAGAATACTTCTCATTATATTGTAACATATAAAATAATTTTGGTTTGTTTTTTAAAATCCATGGTTAATTTAGCTGGATTTGAACCCGGGACCACAGGGACCGACGTCCCGCGTTCTACCACTAGACCAGCTCGCTCCCCACAAATTTGACGAAGTAGACCTTGTCAATTTACGGAATCGCATGATTCCCACCGTAGCTCTCTCGTAATTTGGAAGTGGTATTGTGCTGCCTAGACGAGCTGGCCGAACTCAAGAGCTGCATTTGGCAGTCCGGACCACATTTAAAGTTGAACAAAGCATATTTTTCGATTCTTATTTTATCTAGATCAGTAGATGTCTCCACTCTTATGATGGTGTACTATGGGTATGTTTATCCTATTCTTAATTATGGAATCATTTTTTGGGAAAATTCTGACAAAAAGAAAAAGGTATTTAAATTGCAAAAACGAATCATTAGAATAATTTATTCTCTCAAAAGTAGAGATTCATGTGAAGATATATTTAAAATCAATAACATTCTTACTTTTCCTAGCCTTTACATCTATAATTTACTAATTTTTATGAAACAAAACATCTCTAAATTTTCTGTTAGTTCAGACAACCACAATTATGACACAAGACACAAAGACTGCCTTACATATCCCAAACACAAATCTTCTACCTTTGAACTTTCGCCCCACTACTCTGGTATTAAATTTTATAACAACCTGCCTGATTGCATTAAGTCTGCATCTTCCCTCAGGTCATTTAAAAAAGTTTACTTAAGTTTTTATGTAACAAGTGTTGCTATAAGCTCAATGACTTTTTCCGATGAGTGTTGTACGGCTTATTTATTGATATTATTTTTATGTTGGTATTCTTAGGAATTGACACTATTCATGTATATTTTGTACATAATGAATAAAGGATGTTTTGATTTGATTTGATTAAAGTCAACTAACTCTCGCTTGTTAGCTGCAGGAGCTACTTAAACCTTTCATTCCCTTTGGGAGTTGTCCTTCCTACCGAACTAAGTGGGGGATTCATATCTTTAGTAGTTTCAACATGGATTGTGCAAAAGCACATCCAAGAATTAAGCTAGGCCTTGGAACCTGGCAAATGAAGTAACTCAGGCAAGTAATCAGTTTAAAGTTTACATACCTGCAAAGTACTAGAAAGTGTCAATATTTTGAAAAAGCACACAACAAGTTTTTTTTTATCTGTCCCGGGTCCAGGTCATACTATAAAACCTACATTATTCCCTATGTGGAAAATTCGCTAAAACTTACCCATCTATGAGTGGGACCTCGGACAGTATCCTGCGGACGATGTCTAGGCGCTGCTCCAGAGTGTCCTTAGGAGGTGGAGGGGGCGGAGACCCTGAGAGTGAGAGAGGCCATCCTAGCCCCAGACACAACCCAGCCACCAGCAGACACACCAGACAAGTGACCACCCACGGCCGCAGCCGCACCTCCAGGATAGCTGAACAACAGGAGAGACCTGCGTATGTTAGAACTTCACCTTGACAAGAGCGCAGTCATTATCTATTGCAAAAAACAGTGCCGAGTCCTACGATAATATTCCTTAAACTAAATTGTTCAGACACGAAAGCAACAATGCACATCACCTAATCGGTAAATGCAGGACTGTCAACTTCTTAGCTTGTTTTGTCTCACTCTCTATACTTGTAATTTGGGTTGTTTGATGTAAACCCATGTATTTCATACCCCAGTGATATGTACCTTTGACATCGTCACTGCTGTCACTGCTGCTGATGGACCCAGCGGTGGCCAGAAGAGTGCGTGCCTGACCGTTGCATCGAACTGCGCCGTTCAGCAACCGCACTGGAGGACCGTGCTCTGACATGCAGGTCGTCTGGAAGAGAAAAAAAATATATCAGCAACATGACACAGTTTCTTTCATTAGCTTGACAAAAGTCCTTATCATGGGTAAACATTAGGAGTAACTATGATGTTTTATGGAGTAAATTAAAAAGTTGCAATACATTTTGAACAGTAATTTTTCAGCAATGCTGGCAGTGCTATTTTGTTCAAAATTAAACTTCAAACATACATCGGATAACGAAATCTAATAAAATCGGATAAGAGAATCGATTGTCAAGAGTCGATGCCGATACCCCCGTTGCCATGGTTACCACCGTTACGATGGTAATCCCCGTTACGATGGTAATCCCGGTTACGATGGTAACCCCCGGTATCATGGTAACCCCCGTTGCCATGGTAACCCCCGTTACGATGGTAATTCCCTTTACGATGGTAATTCCCGTTACGATGGTAATCCCTGTTACGATGGTAACCCCCGGTACGATTGTTACTGGCGTTAGTATGGCTAACTCCCGTTGCTATGGTAATCCCCGTTCACATAGTAACTCCGTTGTCATGGTAACACCCGTTGCCATGGTAACACCCGTTTCCATGGTAACACCCGTTTCCATGGTAACCCCCGGTATCATGGTAACCCCCGTTGCCATGGTAACCCCCGTTACGATGGTAATTCCCTTTACGATGGTAATTCCCGTTACGATGGTAACCCCCGGTACGATGCTAACCCCCGTTACGATGGTTACTGGCGTTAGTATGGCTAACTCCCGTTGCTATGGTAATCCCCGTTCACATAGTAACTCCGTTGTCATGGTAACACCCGTTGCCATGGTAACACCCATTTCCATGGTAACACCCGTTTCCGTGGTAACACCCGTTTCCATGGTAACACCCGTTTCCATGGTAACACCCGTTTCCGTGGTAACACCCGTTTCCTTGGTAACACCCGTTGCCCTGGTAACTCTTGTTGTCATAATTACGGAAGGGGACATGATTGCTTGCGTTTCCATGTTTTCCGCCGTTGCTATGGTTATCCCTGTTGCCATGGTAAGAATATGTGTGCAAAATATTTTATGATAAATGAATAGGGATTTAATTGTAGACTATATTCAATAGAATAAAAATAAAGAAGTAAGGATAAAATAATTGTGGTCATGCAGAAAGAAATACTTAAATTTAAATTCATGCAATGTATTCAATAACTATTGTCGACACTTTTCCTTTACCACCAAATAAGCATAGTAGGGTACTAATGATTTTCGTAACAACTCACATTCTTAAACTGAAATTGAGAATGCATAGCAGATTAAGTATGATACTTCTCGAACATTTCTTAATAATTACAAAATAAAGATTTGCACATACTTCATAATCTGTAACTGCTGACGTATAACTTTAATCTTTTATGAGAACTTAACAGTTAAAAAAAATTGCATTTACTGATACATTCGTACTTTTAGCAATATTTCAATTTGTTTTACTGCTTTTAGCGAATTTCCCTATAGGGAAGTAGCTATTACCGTAGGTGGCACGGTAAGACCTAGATCCGGGACCGATTTACTTTTTCATTTTGATGTCCCCAGAGGCCAAAAACACCATTCGTTCAAATTTTTATATATGTATATATATATATAGAGTTATATATATATATACGTCCGTGAACGCGATAACTTGAGTAATTTTTGTCCGATTTTGATGAAACTTGGTTTAAAGGTGTAAAGCGGGATAAACTTGAATGAGTTCGCGAACCAGCACGATCGGACCATGGGAACGGGGCTTTACGGGGGGTTTTATGGGGTAAAAGTTGGTTTTTCTCACTTTTGACCCTCAAAACACAAAATTTCCCGATTTCTCTTTAGACCTTTTTAAAGAGGTTAAAAAACAAATAATTTAGTATATAAAAATATTTTTGTTCGATTATTAGTAACGGAGAAAATTAAAAAATTGTAAATTTAAAATTCCTATGTTAACTTATTCTTATGGAGAATATTGTCAAATGTTGTAGTTTGCTTGTTTATGGATATATAATGATCAAACTTGGCAAATTTATTTATTTTGTACTAAGCTATCAATATTTTACTCAAAATCACACTTTATTAGTTTCCTTGTAGCAGCAAACCTAAGTACTCGTTAAACCTAATGTTATTTAAATATATTTAACTGAAAATCAATTCAGACAAATGGGAATTCGCTTAGTCGGCAGGTCTGCTGCGGCGGGGGTATTTAAAATGTAAACAGACACATTACTGAGCTAACAATCAGTCTTTTGCTAGCACATAAAGACTGTAAAAGAAAGAATTGCAAACAAACCGTTTGTAACTCTGTCGTTTAGTTGTCGACATGAAATGGGGTAGAAAATGTACACAATGAGGGCTATTGTATACAGTTAACATGAAGCTGCACGGCCAATTTTCGCATCGTATTGTCAACACGTTATGTCTCTGCCAAATAAATGTCACTCCACAGAATACTTCTATCCCAAACTACATAAAAGTCTGTATAACTTCTGTAAGAGTAAATTATGCTTACTATGCTAAAAAAATCATTAAAATTTACTACTTTAGTTTTTAGGTTATTGGTTTAGATTGGTGAAAAGAATTCTCTTTTTCTGGCTACCCTTAAAAAGGAAATAGCTTAACCCAGTCGTCGTTGTCAAAACAATGACATTCTCGTTGTAACCTTTTAACTAGACATTTTTGACCAGGTAATTAGCTGGAAATAAAAGCTAAGGGTGCTTCTCTATGCTGAACTAATGCTACCCTATGCTCTCTATGCTGCTCTATTTATCCATCGGACCCATTCCCACAAATAATTATGATTTTATCTTTTGCTACAATGCAATTCATAAGCGAGGGAACAGGAAACTGTTTTGCGTATAAGAGTAATCGGGTTATCCGGTCAAACTGTTAACCCTGTTGCTGTTTGTGCAATTCAAAACCCGTATCGTGAATTGCAGCTAATTTCAATACATCAGTTATATTGGACTCAACAATAGTATCAGTGATTATATTATATGTTTGTGCGGCCTAAAAAGTGGGTTGACGTGGTTCCATAACTAATATTCTTCGTAAGAAAACTTATTTTTTGTTGAACACTATTTATTAGCAATAGATTTTAAAATAATAACAACTACTGACACAGTTAATTTATCACAGATATTTACATTATTATAAGGGAGGTAACTTGGACTGTAAGGTTAGTGAATATAATTCCAAAGCTTTGTTCATCATCGGTAAGACTTTTTGAGAGTCCTCTCAACTGTGGACAAAGTTAAACATTTAATTTGAAGACTGTGTTTAAAAAGTTACAAGTTTCCCTTAGTATAAAATTGGACAGTGTCTCCTATCTACATGAATCCTGTTCTCTTAAAAGTTGCAATAAATATTTGAAAATACCAAAGTTAAAAAAAACCATCCGTACGACTATTGTCAATTTGTAAAAAAAAAACATTAAAATTTTAAAAAGGGAATCACCAGACAGGAAAACATAGAAATTTCTAAATTTTCCACAAAGTTTAAAACTACGTCAGTTCAAACGTCAACTCACACACCCTTTCTAGAAAACCGTGTATTTTATTCGATCAAAACGTTTTCATGAGCAAGACGTTAAATGCAATTCCATTTCCACTTCAAGTTAGATTTGAAGTATTGTATGATATGTGTTAACTGAATATTTCATTTTTTACCAATAAATTAATTTGAATAAACAACTCTATTTGACTTTATAGGTCAAATTTAATTGAAGAATAGTTAACTTACTCTACCATATTTACTCACCACTACAGTCAGTTTCATTTCACGGTTACTTACACTATTCTCAACAAAGGCTTGAAAAGGACTGAGGATAAATATGAGAATGTCACAGTTAAGGGAATAGGTGAGTCATCAGGGCTATTGATTCTCCACTCTATCTAGTAAGTAGAGAATTTACCACTGAGTCACTACTTTACACCGGAACTAGTAAAACAGCACACACACACTCACAAACTCAATATAGGTTAAACTTCGTATACAGCTAATTTTATTCTACTATATAGGAGTCAACAAGATGAACTGATGTTTAAAATATAATTTATTGCACTCCGGTTTATATTTAGTAGCGGAATGTCTTTTAAAGAATATTTTAGAAATTGCTTTGCCATTTTTAACTTTTGGTGGAGTGTACTCAAAAGTAATGCAATTGAAATCTATATCAAGGTAATTTAACGGAGTGATGTATGTAGTGTTTTATTATTTTCTACAAACTTTTATTCCTATTGATAAAAAGTGCCATTCATGTTTGAGTAGTAATCAGAATAAAGTACACTAGTTATTAAGTTCAAATCGTTAAAACATTCTGATGCAAAATACGTCAAGTTTACCACTCTTCAACGTAGTGTAATACATTACTTTGCATTTGAGCCTACATTAAATATTGTTTACCTAAACTTTACGTCACAAAAACAGTCAGTTATGTCCTCATGGATTGTGACTGTGCATTTAAGTTTATTATTTGACACTGTGAAAATTGCAATTTAACTTTTTGAAGAAAGCATTTTTTGCTTGATATCCGAAAAGATTTTACGTTGACCCTACCTTTGGCCACTAACTGAGACAGTCATATACGTAATATTTGTTTTAAATGAGGGACAGAAAATATCATCGTACTCGACAATTTATGATATTCACTGGTTTACTTGAATACTTGTAGTTTCCGTCCGTAGTCCAGGGCAGGAATTGGACAGGTCAATAGGTATACAGTAATAGGCTAATAATAAAAAATAACTTATATATCTAGACTATATTATATCTAGACTAAAGTGCAGTTTTACTAATATGTACTTTAATATGTGGTAATTTCTTCCCTGGCCAAAACCAGCCTTATAAAATTGTTTACACAGGAAACAAATCCTTATATTAAAAGCAAAAGTTTAGGTCGAACCCAAAATTAAATGCAATCTGAAGTAATCTAAAATTCGAGGAGGAACGCATAGAATATGATATAATTTGAAAAAGTGATTAATTAATGTTTATATAGTTTGAAAGTATAATTGTGGATTACATATGAATTTATTCATAGATGAACAAAATACAGTTATTCATTTACATTTTAAATGGAAAATTACTTCAATTTTTTTAAACGATTGTAGCCATAATTGTGGATTTTATCGGGGTATATACTATTCAAACAAATCAGATTATAATAGACTTTAATAAATTAAACTTTTAACTTGGGTTTCAGCATGTTACAAAGGACCTCAAAGATATTTATAAAGTTCCAGCTTATCCTTGAAATACGACCGACCCACTTTTGGATGTTGTCCAAAGAGTCTTGGGAAAGAGCTGATAAAATGTTGATTACTGTATAGAATACTATTTAATGACTCACTTTATAGATCAGCATTTTATGGATTATTATAGCAATACAATAAAATAACATACGTCTATTTCAACACAATTTGATATGTTAATTATATAAGTGTAAATATACAGTATAGAATATTGTTAGAAGACTTATTTTATATTTTAGTACGCTCTTATGATTTAATAACAACAATGGAAATAGTTATTTTAGTTAAGTTTAATATCAATCACCTCTGGCTTATTACCAATAAATTATACGTACAAACACTTTATTTGTGCTTTTATCAATGCTCTATCATTCTTCTTGTATTTTAAAGTGTTTGGGTTAGGTAAGAAGGTGTTATAGTTTACATATTATATGATCTTATTTTACTTTTAAAGATTTTTGATAGGATTATGTAAACCATTTCTTATAGAAAGCTGGTTTTAGTTGTAGATGTTTACACGAGGGAGTTTTACATTCAATGCAAATTACATCCTCGTGAAAAAACTTACAAAAAATAAAATTAGAAGAAAACAGTTTAACTTTTACTACATTAATGAAAACAATTGATTTTATTTTAAAGATAAACAACACAAAAATAATCATGCTGAGGATGTATTAAACTAAGAATATAAATTTAAACTACTAAAGAGTTATATATTTGAAAATGTACATCTATTAACATCACACAAAACCAAAGATAATAAAACTATTCAAAATATAATACATGTTAAAACCACATGCAATTAAAATGGATTATTTCAACTACTTATCTAACTGGGATAACAATAATGGTTAAATATGAAACAATGTTGTTTCAAACAGAATACTTTATCAATTACATACCTCAGCGGAGCGAATAAACTGAAATCAAATATTTTTTTCAGGCTTGAATGCATTTGACAATGTATCCGGATTCACTCAAAGGTAAATTAATTCAATGTTTTAAAATTATATTTGTTATCGTCAAATTATTGAATAATGGATATCTTTTAGGTATTTACTTTTTTTTTTATTTTAGGTAGACTTTAAAGGTTTTCCATATAGAGCATATTGGTGCTTAGATGGGTGTCAGATTTTCACATAGGTGATGTATAAACATAAACTAATATTAATTAGCATATACATTTTATTTTCTTATACATCTACTAAGCAATTATGTTCTCGTTGTGAAAAACAAAACGTTAGTAACTTTAAACTATATTCTTCGAGTGCCTTACTTTTCAATACAAATCGTAAAAAAATTCAAAACGTGCCTTGCGAAAAATTAAATAACACACTGGATTTTTTTTTATAATTTCCGTTATATTACCTTAAATTTCCAGGGGGAAATAATATAAGAGTTTATTTATACATTATTTTTTTAAATCTGAAATAATGATCAGTTTTTCTACAGCTTCATTGATTCTACTGATTAACCAATACAATTTAACGATACTATGAACACCAATTGCATTTTATAAACAGTTAATAAGCTTTAACCAAACACTAAATTAATGCCAAAGCTTATGAAAGATCGTTGACATTGATGTTTTCAATTATTTTATTGATAAATTATAATTCTCACGAACTCCTCATTATGGCGTGTTTTACGTTTTAGCACTTTAATTTTGGAGATAATTGTATTGTTTTACAGTCACAGTATTATAAGTTATATTTTCAAATATAAAACCTTTTAGTTTTATTATATTAAAATTAGATTTTTATACTGTATAACCAAACTGTGGGACTCATTTTCGGATTTATGGTCATGTATATTATTGTTTTAAGTATTTTCGAGTCGACTGAACAAAGTTTGTTTAGTTATTAACATAAATTCATAGATTTCTGTGTATTTTGTATATATTAAAAGGTTTTACCAATCATAAAAAAAACTCAATACGAGACGGATTACTTGACCATTGCTTTTCATTTTAGCTTTTCGGAATCAAAGTTAGTTATTTTATTTCACAGTTCGTTTCTTTATGTGTTGCCGAATCTATCTGCATCATTTTTCCTGCTGAGAACAACTTAAGCAATTAAATAAACTCTAAATGTCACCAAAGGACAGTCAGTCTATACCTGATAGTCCATATAGTTTCCATAGCCCATGTGGTTGCAGGTGCAGGCGCAATGCTGGATATGATGACGTAAGTCCATGTCGAGCTCCCATTGGGCGCAGGGCATAGGAGAGGGGGCTGGTGGTTGTACTGGTGGTGGGGGGAACATGTCACGTGACTAGCTACTGACCAATCACAGCCTGACACGTCACCACCCCACGCCTGACTCGACCCCGCCCACGGTGACCTTGGAGACTACATGTTGAAGTGTTGAAGATCATACTACCTCGCCAACACGATCATGTTTCTACCTGCAGTTGCGAGGCTCGTGATTCATAATTTCCTGAAACAGTTTATTTTGTATTAATAAAAATCAGGGTTTCAAACAGTATTGCTAGGATTATCGTACAAATGAATCGTATCGGCAAAGAATCGATTCGCTACCGACTTACCATAAGAATCAACCATATGTATGTAACATATCTTAGACTAAGTGACTTAAGTTAGGACAAAAATTTTACATTTCATCACTGCGGCCTAAAGTGGCTCTTTTCAACACGAGCTCAAGTTTGGCGACCACAAAGTTGTGTTCTCGAATAATACACGACGAATTGCAGCCATCAAAATAAACGGGTTCGACTTTGTTAATGCAGTTTTACTGCGTTACCCGCTTATTTAAATCATTTGATAACCCGAACAGAGCCCGGTCCTTATAATTTGAATCTGCGGACACTATTCTGGCGTACATGCACTTTACGAGAAAAAAACCACAAGAATAAATTTTATGTTCACGAGTATTTTGTTTGGTCTCTTACCCTTATTTTGTTTCATTTTAGTTTCTACTGGAAATTTTTACTATCAGTATCTCACAATCTATAGGTTATGACATAAATGTTGAGCAGTAAAATGAATTTATATTACGATTGCGACTGGTAAGTAACGGAGAAACATTTTGTGGCATTACTGTTGGCCATTAATTGTAATAAACCTAGGACAGTTACACAATATATCTCAACTTGCTTTCCAAACTGACCTATTAACGCAGAAGTAGAGCAATGTTAAGCAACTATAACACTATACATACATTTATTATTAACTATTGTAAAAATATGTCATGATGTTAGCGCACCGTACCAATGTTAGCCATCAAATTTTTCATATGTATTGTTTTGTTAGAATTTTTAGCATATTAGCATATTATTGTAAATGGTTGTTACCGTCAAATAAATAAATAAATAACAAATAAATAAATGTTTGATTTTATTCATTAATTTATATTGACTTTAGCATAAACGTATAGTGATGTGTTTGCTATCATCATAAATTCAAATTAAGTCCTCTTCGTTAATAATGTCGGGGTCCTTACTAATGCCCTTTTTGGCAAAATCGTCAAACCATGTCAATCTGGTGATTAACCAGGCTTAACCCATCATCTGGTATGGGGGAGTGCATCAGCTTTTATTGGTAAATACAAGCCTAAGCTGGTGCGGGAGGGGTGAATCCTGAAAAGTCAGCAGATCCTAGATTAACCCCCGTTCCTCGCACCCTTGGATATTCACCACCTTAATTTGTTATGTAACTAACCTGTTTTGCGGCGTGATGAAAAGTAGTTAACATGGTAAAATTCCAATCTCTACTGCAGTTAATTTACTTTTATTACTTTACATTTTACTAAACGTTTTGTTGCTGATGTCCCAAAATATTTGTATTTGTTTTATTCAAGTATATAACACGATGCTTATGGTGCTTTGAGTAAGTTTATGTTTGTTGATTCTTTTATAGTCTATTCCGAATTTTTGTTTCGAAACTGTTGGTGGTTATTGAAATTGCAATGCATTAATTTTGACGTGAAATAATAAAAAGTAACATAAACAAGATCGCATTAGGTTAATTTCTGTTAAAAATACGTTTTGGCACCGTTATACGTTATATCATTATGTTCTTGTATATGCATACAGTTTTATTTAATTGCCTTTTTATGTTATTAGATGTTGGTTTTTTTATAATATGTTCAATAAATAATATGTTGAAGTTGATTGCATTTGCGTGACTTAATGCGTGATGTAAATTGAACAAGACATTTTGATGATCGTAGAAATATATTGTTTGAAGGTACCTATTTTCAATAAGAATAAATGGTTTTTATTTTGTTACTTTATATGATTGGAACCCTTCAATATATATTAGAGGTATAATGTTGCCTTGTTCAGCCGAATGTAATGCGTATACAACGTACATGTAATCCGCAGGTTATACGCATTTAGAATTTAATGAGCTCATTAATTTTCAATTAGTATTATCCACGTATAAATGCCTAATGATCTGTTAATCTAAATCCCATATTTAATCCAAACACGAATAATACAAATGTTGATAACTAAACTATTGAAATCCAAATCTCCGCATACCTCACCTAAAATAGTTTTATCTTTATTAATAAAATAAAATTTTTTATTTTTTCAGTTTATGTTTTTATATTTTTTTATAGGTTTTGTCAAAGTGGTTTTTGAATAACCGTGTTTTATTTTATACTGGATAACCCGTTGCTCACTTTCAAGAAAAACTGCTAACTGCAATAAAAGCACAAAGTCCGAATCTCACTTGACTCCTCGAAACTCTCGTTTCTACAAATCTTTGCCATAGTCATAAAAGATTGGTGTGACCCTATTCCCCGCATAAGATTTTCATTAAATGTTTTGTTTGCATTATGTGTTGTGCGCTGTTGGGGTCAAGTGTCAACGTCATACATAGAGATATGTACTCATATACCTGTGCTTACTTGGGATCACGACCTTCTCGAGGAATGAGAGTACCTACTCGGTGGTAAAACGTGTCATGAATCTTACTATTGTATATTCCATGCCTGATTCTCCCATCTAAATGAGCTTCAGAGCTTAGTGTGGCAAAGGTGGAATTGAATTGACGAATGTTATCTAAATAATTTCTGGAAGTCAAGCAGTCCTGTTTTCACATTGGGAGTTTCCAATAATTTCCTGAAAGTATGGCGAATCCCGCAAATGAGCGAAACAAACCTTTCGTTTATGACAACAGAGAGTAAAGATTTAATTGTCTCGAATAGTCTTTTCTCGCTTAATATGTAAGCCACTGCCGCTCTGTTTCCGTCAAATGTTCTATTGGGAGGGTCATGATAGAGGTCAAATTTCCCGGCCTCTTACAGTTCTTCGTCTTCTACGTGGTATTTAATTTTAAATAAAAAAACACGAAAGTTAACCAAACCATAGAAAATTACACTACAGAGAAATGTTTATACACATTATAAATTACATAATCAAATGGTAACGGGTAACTGTGCTGTGAATAAGCACTTTTGAACATTCACTTCATCATACCAAACTGTAACCAAAACTGTATTCAATAAATACGATGTAAATTAAATCAATTAAACTACTACAAACAATTTTTTGTCTTAAATTATGAACCAGACTTAGACAACTTAATTTAGAATTTAGAAAACAGATGTTAAAATAGAAACATAAATTCTGGGCTTGCTTTGGATGCTGTAGTCTGAGGTTAACCAACAACTATTTCAAACCATGTACATATGTTTAGTTGTAAGCAAATTGAATCGAGTCTGATCCAATGTCGACGGATAGCACCATTGTTCCAAAAATGTAGCCCTTAACTGAACTTAAGTGATGCCCTTTATTAAAATTCTGAGACGTATTTGCACACCTACTTAAAACATCTTTAATTTGACACCGCAAACGCTAAAATCCGTCCAGCCTTTAAAGTTATGACTCTGAAAAGAAAACTCCTTGCGTATTTATGTATAGATTATACGTTCCCTTTTATAAGTTTATATTTTGCTTAAAAGTCCAAGCTTTAATAATATATTCACGATTTACTATTGTATTAAATGTGTTTTGTCTTTGTTAATGAATAGCTTAAATATAATCCAAAGTAAATATTTATATATATACGTCAAATAACACTTAAAACATATATTTACACTTATTCTGTTTCAACAAGACGGTAAACACCTTTATCAGGTTGCAGGTTTGAAAGGTTTGAAATTGTTATTGTATTGAATAAACCGAGGAGCTTAACTTTGTTAATTAAACTAAAATTATATAAAATAAATTGTATACCAAATACAATCAATGCATTTTACATGTAAAGTAATTAATCTAAACCTCCTAATCATTTCAAGGAAACTAATCCACAATAAAACTGTAGACGGTAGGATTACGAAGGGGCGATGGTAATCCTTTTCCTCTCTGGGAATGAAATCACTTCAACTAATTAATTAGAAACCTTCAATTCCTTTAAGTCTTTTCCAATCAGGGCTTGGGGTTGAAGCCTGCAATGTAACTAAAAATTAAAACAAAATCTTGGTAAACATCGATTTTTATAAATTTTCTAAGGTTATTGTGTATTATTTTCCACCTTTATTAATTCTACTGGCCGTATTATGTAGGTATCTGTAAATAAATAAAACTAGTTTTTAAGTAACTAGAATCATGTGACACATCTTAATAATATATGTTACATAAAATGAAGGTAAATATTAGAAAAAAAGAACGATTTATAGAAAATAGTATATTTTATAACAAGAGTAGAAAATGAGTCACTACAAATTTGAGACCATGTTTGCAGTGCGAGATTTAAAGAGCACTTCAAATGGGCAAGAATATTTTAGACTCACTTTCACTCACGTTTTGAACGTTACTTTTCGCCACACTACAAAGACTAACTATTTTCTTGAACATTACAAAACTCATAGTATTTTTCTGGTTATGATTTCAATTTACAGTTAATATGTACTTTGGTTGTATGATGACCATTTTGGTCGTTGAAAATGAAAACAGTTGACAAAACATTTTACCTACTAATGAGAATCACGTGGCACATCTTAATAATACAGGTTTCACAAAAATAAATATAAACTGTAAGAAAATTAATGGTTCCTAGAAAAAACCCACCTTCAATCACTAGTGATAATTATGTGGTTCATCTTAAATTTACATATTCCATAAAATAAAGGTTTAAATAAAGGAAATTCCTAGTGAGGGAACCGATTTTAAACCAGTAATTTTTAATGCTATACATATTCAACAGCACGTGTTACATAAAGTAAAGGTAAATCTTGGAAAAATGACAATTCCTAGAAAATGAACTGTTTTCAACCGCCATACAGTATTTAATTTTGTTTGTATAAACAGTACGTGTTACATCAAATAAAGGAAAATCTAAAAAACTAACGATTCCTGGAAAAGGATCTGTTTTCAACCAGTAGTTATAACATGGTTAATCTTCAACAGTACGTGTTACGTAAAATAAAGGTTAATCTTGAAAAAATAACGGTTCCTAAAGAAA